CTCCGTGGATAGTTGAAACGGGCCGGCGCCAGACGCGGGCAGACCTCGCTGCCGGGAACCCGCAACCCGTGTCGGAGTGGGACCCCTCGACCCCCCGGTCGCCGATCACCCTCACCATGCAACGGCTTTCCGTCCAGCGTGTAGATCCCGCATACCGAGTCTGTGTGCGGTCGGTCAGTAGACGATGTCGTCCTCGATGTAGATGCGGGGGCCTCGTCGATGCGCGCATACCCAGTGAACCCGTCAGTAATTTGCCCCCGCCCGAGATCAGCACGGCGTGTCCTTGCGCTGGAACACGTAGTACCCGGTTCCCAATGCGAGATCAGCGTGGCCCCGCCTGAGGCGTTGCCCATGGTCATTATCCTCGGGCAGGCGCGTCCCGTCTTCCAGGGTGTAGTGTACTTGCCGGAGCCTACGGTGGTCATGTTCAGCCTCCTGTATCGCTGTCAGCCGCGTGACGATTTGACGAGTTGTCCGTGTCTTACGTTTTGCGCCGGTGCCTACGTTTTGCGGTCAAAGAAACCGTTGTTGATGTGCTCCCGCATGGTTTCCGCCACCAGTTCCGGGCGTTGCAACGGCACGTCGTGGATGCTGTCTTCCAGCCACACCGTCTGGCTCACCGGCAACAGCGCGTCCGCTTTGGCCATGGACTCTTCACGCCGGAACCGCGGTCCATTGCGTCAGGCGTGGTCTGCCGCGCCGGCAGCATCAGGACCGGACACCGCAGCGTGGGGTTAGAGCTGTGACGGCCGGTGGTCCCACAGCGCGTCGATGATGCGCAGGTGGTTCTCGCGGCGCAGGTGGGACTGAATCGTCCCGTCCTCAGCACCCGGAAGTTTGTGCTGGCCAGCACCGCCGCAATCACTGTGTTCCGAGGGATCGGGCTGATACTCGCCGCCGGTAGCACGCGTTCGCGCACCATTCCGGCGTGAAGCCGGTGAAGATGGGAGGCGCCATATCCTGCCGCGCTTGCTCCAGAGACCATCCCGGCCGCGCCGACGGCTCGATGGTCCCGCCGTCCACGAAAATCAGGCCGGACGCCAATCGGGTTCGGCGGCCGCCAGTTCCAACGCGACGTCCGCGCCCCATGAGTGGCCTACGATAACGGGGCGTTCCCACCCCAGGTATCCGATGAACGCCGCCGCGTCGCCGGACACGGTGGCAAAGTCGAAAACCGTCGTCCACCTGCGCCGACAACCCGTGCCCCCGCTGGTCCAGGGCGGCGACCCGAAGTCCTCCGCCAGCAGCGGCGCCACCAGGTCCCAGATGTGGCAGGTCGACGCCAGCCCGTGCAGCATGTTAGCACCGGCTGCCCGTCGCCGCCCCAGTCGCGGTAGTGGAAGGGCAAGCCTCGCAGGTCGATATAGCAGTCGTTGGGTGTGGTCATGGGGCAGTCTCCTCGCGGCATTTTAGCACGGCCCTGCCTGCTATATTTTGCCGGCGGCCCATAAACCCGTTTCCCGGACGCTTTCAAACCACAGGAGGAACGCGCGAAATGTACGCCATTTTCGTTACCATCAACATCAAGGACGGCTACGCCGACGGAGTTTTCCCAGGCCAGCCTCGGCGACGGCCAGGGCAGCGTCCGCGACGAGGAGAAAACTGCTTCCGCTTCGACATCCTGCGCAGCCCCGACACCCCAACCAGTTCTACCTCTACGAGGTGTATGCCAAACCGCGAGGGCCCACGCCACCACCGCGACCAGCCTCACTACGTCGCCTGGCGTTCCGCCGTGGAGCACATGTTTGAGGGCGACCTCGGCCGCGTGGAGATGGGACACCGTGTTTCCCGTCCGACGCCGGTTGGAAGGCCCAGAAGCCTGGCCTGGTCAATTGGTAGACCCCATTCGACCTGCCGCTGGTGATTCAATAGCGAAACCAGGGTCTCCATCACCGCGAACGACGCCCGGTTCAATAACGGCCGGCAGCGGAACCGTCGGCAATATCAGCCTGACGGTGATGCAGACCCCATAAACGGCGGAGGGGGGACCATGCTCAAATCATTCGGTCCTCGCGACCTTGACCCGATTGCCGCCGTGGCCGCGGCGGCCTTTATCGCGCTGGCCATCTTTGCCTGGACGGTGTGAAAACCGCAATCGCAGACCACGACGACCTCGGCCGTCGTGAACTGGGGCTGGAAGCTGTGGCAGAGCGGCCCGCTGGGATGGGCTTCGCCGGCGTCTGGTGGTTTTGGCTCAGCACCAGGCGCGTGGCCTGGGTACGCAGCCTGGCGTTGGGACTCGTGGCGCTGACGGTTTTCATCAACGGCTACACCGGGCTGTTCGGCGACTACTCGGCGACGTTTGGCGCACGGTCAACCCGCTGTTCATCGCCTCGTGCAGCGTCGCGGCGGTGGCCCTGGGCGATGCGGATGCCCGGCCGGCAAGGTGGGCGCGTTCGTGACGGTCGTCCTGGAGCAGTGGTTTTCGCCAACGCTACTTCGTCAACAACGGGATCCTCTGGCAAATCCTCGACCCCGTGCGGATGCTCACGGAACTGTCCTGGGCCGCCATCGCCAACAAAGCGAACACCGCCCCGGCCAACGCGGCTCCGGCCGATTTCCACGGAGTAACCCCGTCTTGGGTGTGACGTTCCCGCCATGCCGCCGGTGTTTGACGCCCGCGTCCTGGACGTGGTGCGCGAGATCCCCCACGGCCAGGTGGTGGCAACTACGGCCAGATCGCCCAGATCGTGGGAGGCTGCACGCCGCGCATGGTCGGTTTTTGCCTGGCGTCGCTGGCCCGGCCGGACTCGAGACACCCGCCCGAAGTGCCCGTGGCAGCGCGTGATCAACGCCCAAGGGCAAGATCAGCCCCCCGCGGCGTCGGTCTGGGAGGTTACTTCAGCGAGAACTCCTGGAGGAGGAAGGCGTCGAGTTCAGCGACGCCGGCCGCGTCAGCTTCCGCCGCTTCGGCTGGCTGGACCCTTACGAGGGAGAAGAGCGCTAAGGCAGAATCTACTGAGCTGATCGATGCCCGGCAGTCAACGACAACCGGTTAGGTGCAACCGCGAAGCGCGATTTGGCACAGGCCCCCCTCAATTATTGTTCGATATGGAGAGTATAGACCTCTGTTGCAACTTTGATCGAAATCTCCCCACGTGCGGCCCCGTTAGGTTTGAGAGAATCCCCGTCGGTGGTTAGGGTGGTAAACTACACCACGTCGCAGAGCGAGCGTTGGCTCCAGCCAACGGCCGCCATCAGGCGACTAGAGATAGATTGGATCGAGCTCCACTCGCTCGCCCGGACGAAGATGGACCGTCATCGACCTAATACGTTTCGACGAGCCGGAATTGTCGATGTGCGGACCGAACATGTCCAGTATTGGCATCTCCGGTCTAGGCGGCACATAAAGGCCGAAGCCCGTGCTCGTCCCCCACTTCCTTAGTTTCTGCGGCATTTCCGGTCGCGCGTCCTCTGGTCTCCGATATGGCCAGACGTCTCCCTCGATGAATACTTCCACGCGGGCTCCCACAAAGTTTTGCTCCGTTTCGTTGACAAGCAAAAGCCGCATGCCCGGAGCCCATTTCTCAAGAGCCGCATACCGGACAAAGGATGGAGCTAACGAAGCCAAATCCGAAAGGTACGACGTAACTTGGCTTCGGTATTCTTCGGGGCTGCGGCTCTCGAAGATGGGCGACAGCAATGGAGTGATTTTGGTGGGTACCCATTTGTCAAGCGGTTCTAGAAACTCACGCTCTTGACGCTCCCACCACGTGTCTATGTCGGCGAAGTCACGTGCAACCGCCACTGCGGTTACAGTATCAAGAGTTCGGACGCTAATCTCGCCGGAACTCACGCCACCCCCAGCGAATCGGTTGGCGAGCATTTCATAGTCTTCTTGCTTCGCGGGCTCAGTTTTGCCATGGCGACGTATGAATACATCGCCTTCGCGAAAGCGGTTGCCACCGCGCTCTTGTGGTTGGAAGTCGGCGAGCATCGCTACAATCTGGTCACCATACTCAGGCGGTTCAACGGTTACAACAAGCACCTGTTCCCCCTGGCATCGAACGTATTGTGGGCTCCAGCGCACGGCCGATCGCACGTATCGCGAGATGCCAGCATGGAGATCCGCGTTGTCTATTGGGCTAACCCCATGCACCTTGCCCGGTTCAGCGCCGCAGATCATGTAGGCGCAACCAACAGCCGATTGCCTGGCGACTCGGGGTTCCCTGTTCGCAAATCCTGCGATGCACTTCGCGATTGTTGCGAACCACCGTCTATTGGTGAGGTCGGCTTCTCGCTTCCACTCCACCCAGTCGGGTTCGGATTCATTGAGTGGTGCCGTTGCGATAGCTTGCACTAGCTCAGTCAGTTCCGGAACTGAACGGAATGGTTTTGAAGTATCCAGCGTTAGTGCCATGACAGTATAGTAAGCCAGTCCGGTACCGATTGTCGCGTAAAGTTATACAAACTAGGCGAATGAACTACACGCCATAAATTTCACAGCCGATTGCGCTGTCGACAGATATTAGACGACGATCGCTCCGTATATCCCACCGAACGGGGTGCGGAGGCACGTCTGACTGCTAGCACACATGGATCCATAGCAAGCTGTCGGTGGTGGGGAAGGCGGGACTCGAACCCGCACGCCCAAGGGCACATGATCCTAAGTCATGCTCGTCTGCCAATTCCGACACTTCCCCGCAACCGTTGCACTGGCCAAATGCGCCGGCCCACGCAACGATTAAATAAAAATGGTGACCCGCCTCGGGGTCGAACCGAGAACCTGCTGATTAAGAGTCAGCTGCTCTGCCAGTTGAGCTAGCGGGCCAAGCCATCGTGCGCCGGAACGCAGATTCAGGCTACCAACAACGCGGATTGGTGTCAACGACGGAGGTTTCTTAAATCGACGACGGCGCAGCGGGCGAGGCGGGATCCCGGATGGTACTGTAGATGCCTAGGAAGACGAAAAAGCCGACGAAGACATAGATCGTGATCATCCACCATCTGCGCCAGACGGGGTACGGGTGGTGGTACTAGTGGTTATGGTTTAGCCTTGCCTAGTCTTGCTCCAGCATGTCGTCCGCGCCAATATCGCCGCCCGGCAACATGTAATACTCTACGGACTGGATTTGCGGTTCGCTCCTGCCGAAGTCGACTTCGGGGAGCAGGTGTATCAGGCTGGCTACAAATTCCGCGTCATCGTCTTCGATACCGAAATATTCAGGCAGTGCGCTTGCCCGGTCGCGGACAATTTCCAGGCCCCCTGACACTGTCTGAGCGGATACGATTTTCCCGTAGGGGATCCGGAATGACCGGTCACCATTGAAAAACAGGTGCTTGGTTGAAACTGCAAAGAGCCCGCGCCCCCTCGGGGTCAGCACGTCCGTTTCGACGGGAGTGCCCCGCGACGCGCCAGCCCGAACGGACACGCCCTTCATCACTCGAACGCTGGTCCCGGCCGACCTGCCTTTAATCTCGCGCTGCACCCGCATTTCCGCATACGGCACGTCGTTAGCGGCCAATAGCCAACGTTCCCCCTTCTGCAATTTGAAAGGCACGTCAACCTCCAGGTCGAGGTCCGGCACCTTGCCCTCTGCGAGGATGTCCAGAATCGTATTTTTGAACGCCAATTTCTGGCGGCGCTCCTCCACTTCGGCCTCTGCCGCTAATTGGAGTTGTCGCTCCTGCTCCCATTGGCGCTCCCGGAGTTGCGCGTCGTGCTCTTGGCGTTGATGTTCCCGGTCCGCCTTGGCTTCGTCGCTGAAATGATGTTTGAGCCGCTTAAACATGACATTTCTCCGTCTCACCCGCAGTAGGTGTCGAGCTTGGTCGTCAGCGTGATGGTGTGGCCAGTTGCCACTTCCATGTGCCGGGCCGACTCCTTGATACCCGCCGGAGTGGACCGCTCCGGCGACGCCAATCTATCACGCAGACCTCTGGCCTGCAATCGGAGGGGTAGCCGGTCGTAGGGGCGTTGATCAGTTTACGGACTCTAGGGTTGCCTTGTAGCTGGTGCGGTCAACGCTGCCTTGGGCGGTGTGGCGGACCATCCCGCCGAAAGTGTTGCGGCCTCCGAAATCCATGATGATGCTCACAAACCCAATTATACCAATGAGAACGACGATATCAGAAAACGCCACAGTACCCCTTCCTCTGTGGTTCTGCGCGCTACCCGCCCCACCCCAGCGACAGCCACTCCGCCGGCAGCAGTTGCTCGCCAACCGGGTCCACCACCAGGTTGAACGCCTCCAGCGTCGACGCGCCCAGCAGGTAGTTCCCATCCGGCCCGAATATGACCTGGCAGGGTCGTTCGTAATCGCCGATGCTGAAACGGGCAAAGCCGTAGCCATATTTGACCCGGCTGCCGTCGGCCAGGATGAAACCCAACTGCTGCTGGGGCTCAATCCTCAGCTGCGCCATCAACGATTCCGGCAGCATGGAATGCGCCGTTCCCGTGTCCACCACCGGCTGCACCGGCGCCAGGTCGCCGCCCTCCAGGTTGCCCACACCCACATCCACCTTGAACATCGACAAGGCCGTCCTCCATTCTAAAGATATAGCCGGATTGTATCACCGTACCCCCACAACCCGGTTCAAAATCCTGCCACCCGCCTCTTGACATGGCACGAACGTCTGTTCCATAATGGTTCCCGTCAGGTACATTCCTCTCGCCAGAGCCAGGAGAGTCGTTTACGGCCATCCGTTAGCATCAAAATCGCATACCGGCCATGGGACAACCCGGACTGTCGCCGCCCCAGCATCTCAGGCGCGTAGTCCAATTGGCCACAGGAGCAGCTGCCTTCCTGGACGCACCGGCATCATGCCGCGACCGTCAACCCTGGCAGTAAAAACCCTTGCGTACCACCCCCGGCCGTGGGGCTAACGAACGACCATCCGGCTCTGGCAGACCCGATCGATCATCACCTGACCACCTGACAATAGCGAGCAACCGAAAACCACCCGCCCAGGAGCGCACCGCAATGCACGAACCCTGAGCCAGATAACCTTCGCATCAGGGGACGAAACACCATTCGCCCTTGCCATCGCCGCCATCGAGCGTTCTCTCGTGAGCCGCCCGATGGCACGCCGGCTCGGTGCCAATCCAGCGCCGGGTGATCCCCGCGTTGAAAAACGCGGCCATCCCCTGCTAGAATTGTACCGACGCTGGGGATTAGTCTAGTGGTAAGACGCCTGACTCTGGATCAGGTATCACAGGTTCGAATCCTGTATCCCCAGCCATAATTTTTGCCGTCGTCGCCCGCCCCGGTGCGGGCTTTCCTTTTTTCCGTCCCGCCCCACGGGACCCCGCCGCGCCGGCCCTGACCCGAGCCGCTCCCAAGTTGCGCCGCCCCATGCGCTGGGATAGACTGAATTGCGTCATTATTAGGCACAGCACAGGAGCCCCCGTGACCACGAGCACTCAAACTCCCATCACTCAGACTCCAATCGAAGCGCGGAACCAGATCGTCAGCATGGTGCGGGACTTCGTCCGCCGCGAGGTCGAACCCGCCGCCGCCGAGCACGACGCCAACGACACCGTGCCCTACGAGCTCATCGACCAGATGAAGGAGCTGGGCCTCTTCGGCATCAACGTGCCCGAAGAGTACGGCGGCATGGGCTTGGACTACACCACCTTCGCCATGATCTTCGAGGAGATCAGCAAGGGCTACATGACCCTCACCGGAGCCCTGGGCACCCACCATATCCTGACCTACGTGCTCACCCACTACGGCACCCAGGAGCAGCGCGACCGCTTCCTGCCTCGCCTCTCCAGCGGCCAGATACGCGGCGGCCTCGCCCTCACCGAACCGGGCGGCGGCAGCGATGTGGGCGCCCTCGAGACCCGCGCCGTCAAGGACGGCGAGGAGTACGTGGTCAACGGCTCCAAGATGTTCATCACCAACGCCGACTCCGGCGACGCCTTCTGCCTGCTGGCCCGCACCAATCCCGACTCGTCCCTCAAGCACCGTGGCCTCTCTGCCTTCGTCATCGAAAAGGACGGCAGCCCCGGCTTCAAGGTGGGCCGCCACCTGGACAAGCTGGGCTACCGTGGCCTGGACACCTGCGAGCTCTTCTTCGAGGACTTCCGTATTCCCGCCGAGAACCTCATCGGCGGCGAGGAGAACGTGGGCTTCGGTCAGGTCATGAGCGGCCTGGAGACCGGCCGCATCAACGTGGGCGCCCGCGCCGTCGGCGTCGCCCAGGCCGCCCTCGATGCCTCCATGCGCTACATCCAGCAGCGCGAGACCTTTGGCGTCCCCATCAGCCAGCACCAGGCCATCCAGCTCAAGATCGCCGACATGGCCACCAAGATCCAGGCCGCCCGCCTCCTGGTCTACGACGCCGCCACCAAGAAGGACAGCGGCGAGCGCATCGACCTCGAGTCCGGCATGGCCAAGCTCTTCGCCAGCGAGATCTGCGGCGAGGTCGCCATGGAGGCCATGCGCATCCACGGCGGCTACGGCTACACCAAGGACTTCCCCGTCGAACGCTACTACCGCGACGCCCCCCTCATGATCATCGGCGAGGGCACCAACGAGATCATGCGCCTCGTCATCGCCCGCCAGCTCCTCCGCCGCCCCGAATACCAGCTGTAAGGAATAACATGACCCAAACTGAAATGCCCATCCGCCTCACCGAGCTGTCCCACTGCGCCGGTTGAGCCGCCAAGCTCAGCCTTGAGGACCTGGGCCAGGTCCTGAGTTATGTTCCGCTGCTCTCCCACCCCGACCTGCTGGTGGGCGCCGAGACGGGTGACGACGCCGCCGTCTATCGCATCAACGACGAGACCGCGCTCATCGTAACCGTCGACTTCTTCCCGCCCATCACCGACGACCCCTACGAGTACGGCGCCATCGCCGCCGCCAACTCCCTGTCCGACGTGTACGCCATGGGCGGCAAGCCCTTGATCGCCCTGAACGTGGTCGGCTTCCCCGCCTCGCTGGACAAGTCGATCCTCGGGCGCACTCTGCAGGGTGGCTACGCCAAGGCCGCCGAAGCGGAGTGTCTCATCGTGGGCGGCCACACCGTTGACGACCCCGAACCCAAGTACGGCCTTTCCGTCATCGGCATCGTCGAACCGGGGAAACAGGTCAGCAACGCGGGCGCCAAGGTCGGCGATGTGCTGATCCTCAGCAAGCCCATCGGCACCGGCATCATCACCACCGCCGGCAAGCAGGGCGTGTGCGACCCCGACGTCATGTCCAGCGCCGTGCAGACCATGGCGGCCCTGAACCGGCCCGCCGCCCAGGCGATGCAGCGCGTTGGCGTCAACTCGGCCACCGACATCACCGGTTTCGGCCTGATGGGCCACCTGAAGAGCATGGTCAAGGGCAGCGGCGTCGCCGCCAGGATCAGCCTATCCGGCGTGCCCGTTCTGCCCGGCGCTCGCGAGCTTCTGGAAAACGGTGTCGCCCCCGGAGGCACCCACCGTAACCTCAGCAGCGTCGAGGACGCGGTAACCTGGGAAGAGTCCCTCACGGAAAATGACCGCCTGCTCCTCTGCGATGCCCAGACTTCCGGCGGGCTGCTCATGTCCGTGCCGGCGGAGCGTGCGGATGCACTGATAGCCGCCCTGCGTGAGGAAGGAACGGCGTGCGCCGCCGTGGTGGGCCACATCACCGACGGACCCGCCGGGACCATTTCCGCCACCAAGTGAGACCACCCGGAGCAAATCCCATGACGACATCCAACCAGCAGCCGCAAACCTCGACCACGCAGCCGGAGTTCGGCCTGAAACGCCCCGACCAGATCAAGATCGCGCCTCCGGGTGGCGAAAAGGTCCCGCCGGGCCAGTTCGTCGCCAAGACCTTCCCCGTGCTCACCTACGGGGATACCCCGCAGATCGACCTGTCCACCTGGACCATCCGGGCCTGGGGTCTCGTGGAGCGCGAGGTCACGCTGGACTGGCCGCAGTTCTGCGCCCTGCCCCAGGTCGTCATGGACGCCGACTTTCACTGCGTGACCCAGTGGTCCGCCCTGGATCAGACCTGGGAGGGCGTGCTGGTGTCGGACCTGCTTGAACTGGCGGGCATATCACCGGACGCGCGGCACATCATGGCCCACTGCTTCGGCGACTACACCACCAACGTGCCGCTGGATCTGGCCATGTCCGAGGGGTTGCTGGCGCACCGGCAGAACGGCGCCGAGTTGGGCCGGGACCACGGCTGGCCGCTGCGGCTGATCATCCCCAGCCGTTACGGCTGGAAGTCCGCCAAATGGCTCAACGGCATCGAGTTGCTTGCCGAGGACGCGCCGGGCTTTTGGGAACAGCGCGGTTATAACAACAACGCCGACCCCTGGCAGGAAGAACGGTTCTGGCCCGAGCTGACGCGCTGATCGCGGGCTCGAGAGAAGACAAAAAAGAGGGGCGGGTTTTGAACCCGCCCCTCGATTGTGCGTCGATTGGTGGCTACGCGGCCTTGAGAAGCTCCTTGCGCGCGGTTCGCACGGTCGCAGTCGCGGCAATGGCCGAGTGTTTCGGCTTGGCGAATTCGACCGCCTGGTTGGGAGCGTCCAGGTCCCTCTGCCATCCGCACTGGAGGCAGCTGACGAACATCCCGTAGATGTCGCGCCGCATTTCCAGGTCGCCGGAGCACTTGGGACAGGCGTTGAACTTCAGTCTCATGATTGCCTCCTGACCGAAAAATTTTGCTATCCGCAAATTTTGGTGTATCGCCTTGGTAACCTGATCGTCTCTTATACGAGATAAACGGTTGCCCGGATGCCCATTTTTTGAATGCTCGTTTTGGAATGCCTGTCCGTGGGATTTTGGTTGTTTGCCGCTGTCATCGGTGTTGTTGCGTTGGATGATACAGATTGACATGGCTCGTGTCAAGGGTTATATTTATCCCGTAGCAATGTGATATAATTCACGCACGGAGCGTCACCCAGATGCAACAACGATGGACCAACCCCGACCCGACCCGCCGCACTCGCCTGGAGCCTTATCCCGCTCCAAGTGTTGAGGCTCCCGCGGGCTGGCCTGATGGGATGTCCCCGGCCGCGGCGCGCGGACCCGGAGACCCCACGGAGCCGGAAGCCGCCGGACCGGACGGAAACGCCGCGGCTCCAAATATGGAACTGGAAGGGGTGTACATCATTTCCGTCGCCGCCCGCCTGCTGGAGATGCACCCCCAGACCCTCCGCAAGTACGAGCGGCTGGGCCTCATCCAGCCGGTTCGCACCGTCGGCATGCTCCGGCTCTACTCGCAGGACGACCTCCGCAAGGTGATGCTCATCCGCCATCTCATGGACAACCTCGGACTCAACCTCGCCGGCGTCGAATTCGCGCTCAAGCTCGTCAACAACCTCAGCGTGTTCTCCCGCCGGCTCACTCGCGCCACCGACGACGCGGCGGTGGTGGAAAACATCCGCCACGAGGTCACCCTGTTGTGCAGCAGCCTCAGCCTGCCCACCCCGGAATGACCTCGAACCTAACCACACTGGAAATCGCAGTTCAGGAAAATGTAAATGGCACAGGAATATGTAAATGGCAATTGATGAAACCCTACCGCCCGACGCCGGGCAACCCGACGATCTCGATCCGGGTACGCTGGCATCGGACTTCTACGCAACCGGATCGACCTCACCCACGGACGATCCCGGCGACGCGCCTCCAATGCCGCCGGAACAGGAGGCATTGATGCTTCGGGCGGCGTTGGCGGAGGCCAACGAGGAGATCGCCCGCCAGGCCGACGCCGTCCAGCGGGGTCACGCTGACCTGGCCAACGCCCGCCGCCGCCACGACGAGGAACGGCTCACCATCCAGCGCCAGGCCAACAGCCGGCTGCTGGTCGGTCTGTTGCCCATCGTGGACGAGTTGGACCTGGCGGTGAACCACCTTGAAAGCGGCGCCGCGGCGTCGGCGGTGGAAGCGTCGGAATCCTGGGCCGAAGGGGTACGATTAATCCAGCGCAAGCTGGCAACCTTCCTCGAATCCCAGGGCGTGGCTCGCATCGAATGCCTGGGCGAGCCTTTCAACCCCGAATTTCACGAGGCCGTGGGCATGGCCCAGGTCGGGGACGCCGCGTCAGGCAGCATTGTCGAGGTCCTGCGCCAGGGCTATCGCCTCCACGACCGGGTCGTTCAGGTCGCCCAGGTGGTGGTGAACCAATAGTCCGGCCGGCCGCGCTGCCCGGACAGACAAATCAAGCTCACAACCGCCCGGTGGCGGCTTGCGGGCAAATCACAATCTGCACCCCAATACACTTTGAGGAGACACGACAATGGCAAGGATTCTAGGCATCGACCTCGGCACGACCAATTCGGTGGCTGCGGTGATCGAGGCCGGTGAGGCCGATGTGGTTGAGAGCGCCGAGGGGAACCGCATCACGCCCTCAGTGGTCGCGGTCAACGCCCGTAGCGGCGAGCGGTATGTCGGGCAAACCGCCAAGCGACAGGCCGTTACCAACCCGGACAACACCATCTTCTCCGTGAAGCGACTCATGGGAAGGCGTTTCACCGACCCCGAGGTCCAGGACGCCGCCAGGCGCCTGCCCTACACCATCGCCTCCGGCGACAACGGCGACGCCCACGTGGAGATGGCCGGCCAGAACTACGCGCCCCCCCAGATCTCCAGCATGATCCTGCAGAAGATCCGCCAGGACGCTGAGGCCAAGCTCGGCGAGCGGATCACCGAGGCCGTCATCACGGTCCCGGCCTACTTCAATGACTCCCAGCGCCAGGCCACCGTGGACGCCGGCAAGGTCGCCGGTCTGGACGTCAAGCGAATCATCAACGAACCCACCGCCGCCGCGTTGGCTTACGGTATCGACCGGCAGCAGACCGACTCCAAGATCGCGGTGTTCGACCTCGGCGGCGGCACCTTTGACGTCACCATCCTCGACCTCGGCGCCGGGGTGTTCGAGGTACTGTCCACCAACGGGGACACCTATCTCGGCGGCGATGACTTCGACGAAGCCATTTTGAACTGGCTGGTCACGGAGTTTCGCGCCGAAACCGGGATCGACCTGGCTCAGGACCGCATGGCCCTCCAGCGCCTCCGCGACGCCGCCGAGCGCGCCAAGATCGAGCTGTCCAGCACCCTGGAAACGGAAATCAACCTGCCGTTCATCACCGCCGACGCCAGCGGCCCGCAGCACCTGGTGAAGCCCCTCAGCCGTTCTCGCCTCGAGCAGCTGGTGGCCCAGCTGGTTGACCGCACCGAGGGCCCCTGCCGGCAGGCCATCACGGACGCCGGCGTCAGCGCGGGCAGCATCAACGACGTCATCCTCGTGGGCGGCATGACGCGCATGCCCGCGGTCCAGGCCAAGGTCCAGCAGATTTTCGGGAAGGAACCGTCCCGTTCCGTCAATCCGGACGAGGCGGTGGCCCTGGGCGCGGCCATCCAGGCCGGCGTGCTGGGCGGCGAGGTGGGCGACATCGTTCTGCTGGACGTTACCCCGCTGACCCTCGGGATCGAAACCCTGGGCAACGTGACCACCGCGCTGATCTCGCGCAACACCACCATCCCCACTAAGAAGACCGAGACCTTCACCACCGCCGCCGACGGCCAGTCCAGCGTGGACATCCACGTGCTGCAGGGCGAACGGCCCATGTCGGCCGACAACAAGACCATCGGCCGTTTCATGCTGGACGGTATTCTGCCGGCCCCGCGCGGCGTGCCGCAGATCGAGGTCACCTTCGACATCGATTCCAACGGCATCCTGAGCGTGTCCGCCCAGGACAAGGGTACCGGAAAAGAGCAGCGCATCGTCATCCAGACCAGCAGCGGCCTGTCCGACGAGGACATCGAGCGCATGATGGGCGAAGCCGAAGCCAACGAGGAGACCGACCGGCAGCGGCGCGCCGAAATTGAGACCCGCAACCAGGCGGACAGCCTTGCGTACTCGGCCGAGCGCCTGTTGACCGAAAACGCCGAGTCGTTGCCCGCCGACCTCAAGGCCGAGGCCGAGGGCAAGCTCGAGGCGCTCCGTTCGGCCATCGCGGCCAACAACGTGGCCCAGATGCAGACGGCGATGAACGAGTTGAACGAAGCCCTGCAAAGGGTCGGCCAGGCAGTCTATTCACAGCCCGGATCCGGCGGCCCGGGCGCCGCTCCCGGGGATGCCGAAACCGGTCCCGACGACACGGTGGAAGGCGAATTCCGCGAAGTCTGAACGCGCCGGAAATCCACCAGGCGGGGACGGGCTTTGCGCTCGTCACTGGCCGGGCCCCAGCGACATCGCGCTTGAGGACTTGCCAATCCGTAAATCCCTTGTAAACTGTTCCCGCGTCGTGTCCGAGCGCTAACGAAAGTGCTATAATGGCGTTGAGCTCAGCAATCCGTGGCGGGTGCCGCCCCGTCGGTCATTTGGAGAAGTGCAATGAGCGCATCACAAAGAGATAACACGGAAGTCACCGATTTGGAGAACGAACAACAAATAATGAATGCTGCGCCCATAGGCGTGGACCAACAGGCGGGCCCTCAGGTAGAGGACTTTGAAGCCGAGTCAATGACACCGCTTCAGTCGCATTATCTGGAAACTCTGCGACAGCTGATCGCGGTGAAGAACGAGTACCAGACCGCACCGGAATTCGAGGGTTGGATGATGGATGCGATCAAGCGCTCCATCTACTCGGCACTGCGAGATTGCATGGAAGCCAACATCGGTGATGCGGCCCGGGAGTTGCTGAACCAGGAACACCAGGTCAATTAGCAACTGAGCTCGGATTGCGGCGGGCCGGAAGCATTGCTTCCGGCCCGCCTTTTTTGCAATCAACGCCAGGCAGCCGGCCGCACGCGAGATCGCGCGGGCAACGATTTCACCCCCGAATCGGTGCGGCGCCACCGGGTGATGGAATTGTCCGCAACGCCGCCAAGCCGCTCTCCGGTCGGTGACTTTTCAGAGATCGACAACTGTTTGGGTTCGAGGTAGCCGCTCAACACTAAAACCGTCATACCGGCGAAAGCCGGTATCCAGCACATCCTTGCTGTTCTCACGTTTCTCGGAGCGCAGGGCCTCTGGGTTCCTGCTCCCGCAGGAACGCCGTGTCCCCGACCAGGAAACCTGACAACGCTGAACACTTCCTCCGGTCGCCGACCATTTGACACGGATTTCCGTGCGTATGATATACTTCGAACGCGCTAGCCGAGGTGGTGGAATTGGTAGACACGCGGTCTTGAGGGGGCCGTGGGCTTTCGCTCGTGTGGGTTCAAGTCCCGCCCTCGGCACCATCTCTGTTGCAGGTGAGTGAACGCGACACCCATCAAGACAGCGCAGGCACGGGGCGACGTAGCCAAGTGGTCCAAGGCGGAGGTCTGCAAAACCTCTATTCGGCGGTTCGAATCCGCCCGTCGCCTCCAAATTCAAATCCGTCTAAACACGTTTTTCGGGTGGACATTCCGTAGGGTTCAGGATAACGCGGCGCAGCGCTCTAGCTGAAAGAGCCGTTGCGCTTTGTTTGGTCAGTGCCGAGGTGGCGAAACGGCAGACGCGGCGGACTTAAAATCCGCCTCTCCCGGAGGTGTTGGGTTCGAGTCCCGCCTCGGCCACCAGTTTCTCAATTGCACT